ATTGATATTTATTGTTTTAGAGTTTTCGTTTTAATATATTAAATAATATTATTTTAAACATTTTTATCTTTATATATTTGCTCCCTTAAGTTATAATTCAATAAGTGGTTAGCATTTATTTAAGTCTGAAATATTTACTGGTTGTGATTTCTCAATGTCTATGCCATTGTGGATGTATGTTTGTGTACATATCGGTGTCTATGTGTATGTAGAGTGTATTCACATTTAACTGTGTGTGTGTATAAGTGTTAGTTTCCACGTCTCCTTTTTTCGTAAAGGGCTGTGGAGTTGTTCATGTATTCCCCCCACCTCTTCCTTTTTTTTTTTTTTTTTTTTTTTTTTAAGTGTGTGTGTATATTTGTGTGTGTGTGTGTGTGTGTGTGTGTGTGTGTGTGTGTGTGTGTGTATGTATCTAATTATGTCTGGATGCGTATGTATTATAATCTGATTGTGTTTTTGTTGTGTCACGCGTGAGTTTAAGACCATATTCACAAACTTTAAAATAAAAACGGAAAAGAAAAAATATATACATGTATTATCAGATGACCGGACGAATTGTAGCTTTTGTCTTGTCAGACGTAATTTCAATGAAGAAATGAATTGAATAAACATATATATTTTTTTTTTTTCTCAATAATTTTGTAGTTTTTAAACTTAATAGTGATTAAATTTGGATTTTTAAAATTGCCAGTTTTTAATTTTAATATTAAATTTTATCATATAAATTTATAATTATTAGTTAAAAAAAATTATTTTTAATATTACACGTATTTAAAGATCTAAATAGCTATAATAGCAGGATTTTGTTGTCAAGCTTTTGAATCTTTCTGTACTTTTTTTTGATTGGTTATTCTAGCTTTTGTAACAATGCTCCCCTAGTGTAGGATCGTTAATTCATCTGAAACTTTTAAAACCATTTATTTTCTTTTCAACACCATCACTTGATAAGACACAGAGTGTGTTGAAACAAAATGGCTATTTTGTAGTGATTTTATAACATACTTATGTTATAAATTTTTTTATAAAAATAAATATATATATATATATATATATATATATATATATATATATATATATATATATATTCTGTTGTATGGATATGAGTTTGTGAGCCAGGGTTTCACGCGTTTGTGATCATATTAGACAAACTGATTTATTTTTTAAATATGTTTTATATATATATAGCGAGGTAGGGTAGGGATATTCTTGACGCTTGTAGGACACTCCAACCCGCTCCTTGTTGAAAAGAACATCGCTACACTTATAGCTACGGTCCCAACAACGCAATTGCGTATGTATGTATACCCGAACGCATGGATATGTATCCACGCCTAGCCACGGATTGTTTATATGGCTGCGTTTGCGTAAACTAAAATACGTACACCTGTATGTAAGTGCGTCTGAGAGCATGAGTGTGTTACCATGAGCAAGTACGGAAGGAAATTGCTCCTCCCACGACCAAACATAGTCAAACAAGCATAAATAGATCCAATTTTAAAAAATAAACCTGTTCGATGATCGCAAAAGCGTGAAAAACAGAGACAGAAACTCATATCTATACAACAGAATGTTTTATTTCTATCACTGGTACTAAATGGTTTCCACTAACTACTGCACATATAAAAGAAACCGCAAGATCTGACGAAGCGAAATCGAATTTTATCGGTCTCGCGAAATAAAATATTACCATGGCTTTCTGAAGTCTCCGATTTGTTAATTATATATATATATATATATATATATATATATATGAGGGGGATATTCGACTGGATACGAAAATTCGGGTTTACAGAGCTGTTGTACTTGCCATCCTTTTGTACGACTTAGAGTCGTGGACTCCATACAGGTACCCTATACGCCAGCTGGATGTTTTCCATAAAAAACTGTCTGCGTGCAATCTTAACTATCAAGATAGGACATCTAACGTAGACCTGTTTAATAAGTGTAATATTGGAAGAATTGAGACTTTTCTCATACAGTCTCAGTTACGGTGGACTGGTCATGTAAGGAGAATGTCTGATGACAGGATACCCAAGATCCTAATGTACAGCCAGTTAGATCAGAGCTAGAGGAATGTAGGACGCCCATGGGTGATATACAAAGACAAGCTGAAAAGCAACTTGTCAGCAATCAATATACCACATAACTCCCTTGAGCGCTTAGCCTTGGAGCGGGTAGAATGGAGATCAACGTGTTTTAGTGGACTCAGCAGTTTTCAATCTGCTTGTCTGAATCATCTTCAAGAAGCGAGAGCAAGATCTAAAAGGCCATCCAATCTAACAGTGATCTCATCTCACAATCCTCACTCTTGCTCCATATGTGGCCTCCTTTGTAAATCACTAGCGGGTCTTAAATGCCACTTAAGATTATCGCAGAAAATTTCATAACTGAATCAACTAGGCTGTCAGATCTTCATACGTCGAAATTTACGAGAGAGTCCATTATATATATATATATATATATATATATATATATATATATATATATAAAATTTAAGCAGCAAATCCTCACTCAAACATGTTTCATAGAATAATATAGACATGCTATGTCTATTTTTATATCTTATCTTTCCAGTTTTCTAATCAGTTTCTTGATGTTAAGATGAAATTCATCAAGAAAGGCGCAGTAGTTTTTCTAACCCAAATACTTTCTATCTTTTCCAAACTCATCTTCAGGGTTAAATTATAAAGACAAACTTATTGTAACTGCCTTAAAATTTGCGTTTCGCTGTGAAGGTGTTTTTTTTTAAAAAACAGTTATTTTATAGTTACTTTAAAATTTTTAATTTATCCGTTCTAGTTATTGATTTTTTCCTCCATCCGTGTTGAAGAGCTTGGATCCCATTGGTCAAAAATGTCATCAGCAGCAGCAGTTATGACGTCATCATCACTCCGATATTGGCGCCCATCCAAGTTTCATGTTAGACAATAGATAATAGTCAGATGGAGCCAAGGCAGGAGAATAGGTAGGGTGATCAACCAGTTCAAAACCACATTCATGCAGAATATCCATTGAAATTAACACTAGGATGGCCGAGGTGTCGTTTTCGACACCTTCAAATTTTCAACAAATTCCTATGGAATAACTAGTTTTGGTTCGATGCTGAGGCTTATGGACAATTATTGAATGTTAGCGAAGATGCTTAACAGACTTAATTCTTTAAAAAATATTCAGTCGAATAGCTGATATTTGAGGTTTTACCTTGAATGGCCGAGGTGTAGTTTTTGACACCTAGGCTATTTATAGGGTAAATGCATTGAAAAATTTCTCACAAGCAATAATACTTGTGTTTATGTCCCCTATCTATCTATTTATCTATCTATCTATACACACACACATAATTTATATATATATATATATATATATATATATATATATATATATATATATATATATGATCACTTTCTTTCAGTATGAGGTATACTAATATTTGTGAATTTCTTTTCAGACTTGTTATTCCTGACTTGAATCATACTTATTATAAAACCCAGGTTGTGTGTGTGTGTGTCTGTACGCTTATATATTGGATCGGATTTCCTACATTTTTCAACCGATTTCAACAAAACTTCACAGAACTACGTAAAATTACCTTACGGTGGTTCTGACAGCGCCAAAAATCGGAAAAAGACAATTGTTTTTGCACGAAATCAATTTGAAAACACGATTAAGTTGTTTGTGTGTGTGTGTGTGTGTGTGTGTGTGTGTGTGTGTGTGTGTGTGTGTTGGGTTCCTTTATATATGGGATCGGATTTCCTACATTTTTCAACCGATTTCAACAAAACTTTATTTTATTTTTTTTTGGCAGGTAGTGTTTCTTATTGTCTTGCACACTTTTTTCTTTATTTTTACATTCAGAATGCTTTAAAAATTCCATTTATAAGACAATTGTTTATAATAAAATTCTATTCAATCGGTAGACTCATAACGATTGAAAACAATGTTTTTGTTTGAGTTTGGGTTTGACCAATTCGTAAAAAAAAAATAATAATAATTAAGACATGCGTGTCCGTCAGTCTTAAACAATAATCTTTGTCAATTTTATTTTTCAGTCTTTATGATGGTCGATACTTGATCTATCTCTTACTGTTACATCCCCGGGCAACGCCGGGCTTTACTGCTACTATTGAATATATTACAGATGGCTGCTCACGGTGTAATGTAAATAAAGATGTCAAAGGAACTGGCCATCCTAGTGTTAAGGGCTTGTGCGCTGTAGCAGTGTCCTGGTGAAACAAGACCCGTTTACCAGGGCGTTTCGGTTTGATAGCTTTGATAGCCAGGTAGACATCAGTATCCTCTATTGATGCTATGAACATTTTTTAAGATAGTCATTAAACACAATGCCTTTCCAAGCAAACTGAAGCCATCACATTCCCTGCAGATAAATCGACCTTGTCCTTCTTTGGAGCAGGTGAGAAAATGTCTTTTCCACTGGATGGATTATCTCTTTGTCTCTTGCTCAAAGTGATGAACCCAACACTTATCCTGGGTTAGAAAACGTTCATGGAAACTGGATGGATATACCTAAACAAAGTAAGATTTTCCCGTGATGTGGCCAGTCTGGTTTGCTTTTGATCAAGTGTCAGAAAACATGGCATCCACCGAGCAGAAAACTTCGTCATGACAAATCCATTGTATAAAATATTCTCGGCTCGCTCATAGAATATGCTGCTGATAGCATTGGCTATTTGAATTACAGTCAATTGATTGTTATTCATCCCAATTAGGGGAACAAGATCAATGTTCTCCTCAGTCAAACCGTGTCAGCATGAATGTATTTGGGGCCGAAACCCTTATTGTGCAGGCAATTGATAAAACCAGGATACCAAATTATGTCTCTTTTCAAGAGATGTTGTTACTAGTTACTTTCGAAGTCTTCTTTGAAAGGTCTGATATCAGTTTATCTGGAAAGAGACAATTAAGTTATAATTAAGACATTTGATTAATGAATGCAAGATTTCAGAGCTCTAGCAGCATTTCGTTATAGAAAGAAGTTTTCATTACGCCCGGGTAGATAGAGAGATAGATTTGAGGATAGATATGAAGATAGATATGAACCGTCTGAGAGATAGATAGATAGATAGATAGATAGATAGATAGATAGATAGATAGATAGATAGATAGATAGATATGAATTGATGGCGGTAGATGAAGAAAGGGAAAGTTATATAAAAAGAAATAGATTTGCAGACAGACAGGCAGATAGATAGATAGATAGATAGATGAACTGATTTAGATAGATAGATAGATAGATAGATAGATAGATAGATAGATAGATTACTCTTTACTCACGGATTTCCAACTAAGAAAATTGATTAAAATCGTAATCGCCTTTCATTGTCTGTTACATTCATCAGTATCTGCAAATATATATATATATATATATATATATATATGTGTGTGTGTGTGTGTGTGTGTGTGTGTGTGTGTGTGTGTGTGTGGTTGTATTTCTATGTTAAAGTTAATTGCCTGCCAATAGCTAATTAATATTTCATCAACAAACACAGGGTATGTGAGGAATTTCTAAACATTTTTATCTTATTTATATCGTATCCGAAGCATGAATAGGAAAATGATTAATTTGCATATTTATTGGTATATTTAAAAAAATAAACTTAAAAGTAGACACACAAATCATGATAGAAACATACTTCTCCTTGTTCCACGGCCATTCTAGCTTTCATCTTCTTCTTGAATTATATATATATATATATATATATAATGAAAAAGATGAAAGCTAGAATGGTATATATATAGGGTGCGATGGATAAATTGTCGTCTACATTACGTAAAAATGAAAATAACACTGACTTCTCAATTTAACAGATATATTTACCAAAATTACACAAAAATGTCTTGAAAAACTAAAGAGTAAATTTATTCAATAAAATCGGCATTGACTTCAACTACGGCCTCCAGACGACTTCGGAATCTCCTGCAACTCTTCTTGGCGGTCCCCTTGTTTAAGTCAATGAATGCTGCTATTATCTTTGCCTTCAGTCCATTTTTGGTGTTGCAAGAAGTTTTGTTGGCCCTTCGCTCAACTTCATCCCACACATAATAATCAATGGTCTTGCAGTCTAAGGAGTGATGTAAGGGATTATGGGGTCACAGATATTGTCAATAAGCCATGACTAGGTTTTCCTGCTTGTGTAGCATGGTGCAGAATCCTATTGCAAGGCAGAGGGTCTTCCATCAGCCCAACCACTCTTGACTCAATACAATAGTACCTCCTCAAATCACTTGATGTGGGCCTTCATGTTGAGTCTCAGGCACTCACCAACAAATTCGGGAGTTCTTTTCTTAATAGAACGATCAGAGCGAGTTCTGCAAGTTGCCGTACCTTCGTAATCACCATTAGACTCATCCAACTCTTTTGTCTCCTCTGCACTGTCCTCAGATTGACACTCTGAAATCGTCGTATTGGAGCTTCCGCCGCGGAAGGATTTGAATCATGATGCACTTTTTCTCACAGACGGTGCCCAAACGACCACACCTTACCTCGCACTTAACAAAATCAAAAACAAACAACGCGCATGCGCGAAATTAAAAATATAAAAAAGTCACAATTTACCCATCCTATCTTCCAAGTTTGTAAAAATATTTTTATAAACTCGAAAAGAAAAGAAGAGAAGAGAAAAAAATGAATTCTGAGCTGTTATATGACATCTGTCCTTTTATACGGCCACAAATGTTGGACGATTTCCTCAAAGATAAATAAGAGACTGGCGGAGACAATGATGTGGTTCTGCAGAAGGATGCTAAGGATATCATGCACCGAGCGTGTGAGCAACGATGAGGTCTTAGAGAGGTTGCAAACAAGGAGGAAGCTTAAACTTAAGATCAGGAAAAGGCAGCTGAAGCTTCTGGGACACATAATGAGAAAGGAGGGCCTGGAGAATCTGATACTCACGGGTCGAATAGAGGGAAAGAGAGACAAGGGAAAACAATGCATGATATACCTAGCGGGCTTAAGCAAGTGGATGACAGAACGTGGTCTAGAGGAGGTAGGAGAGGGAAGGAAATTGTTCAGAGCTGCAAAGGATAGAGAAAGGTGGAGAGACATGATTACCTAGGTCCTGAAAGTACACAGAACATAGAAAGAAATATATATATATATATATATATATATATATATATATATATATATATAGTGCAGTGCTTTGTAAAATGCCTGAAAACTATACATGTTAACGTAAGCCTTGCGAGAGAAATTGATGGGTCTGTTCGAAAGTCATCGACGATTGTAAAACTAGGAAGTCACACGTCATCTTGACTTAGGGTATGAGTGTACAGGCGCTTTTCCAACAGTTGATCAGGACACATTGAGTTCTCTCAGAAACTATAAGTAAGGTCCGCTCAGGATAGTTGCAGTATAAAGTACAGGTCGCCTCTGTGATTCTTGAACAGGGACAAACGAACTTCATCGCGTGTCTGCAAGATTGATTGGAAAGCCGCTCTAGTTTACTCGGAATGTCGCTGGCCATTATATATACATTGTTGCGGATATTAACTCTTTGCAACGAGTATGGATGATTTATAGTAGATATTTATGAATTCCGGGAACATTATAGGCAGATTCAGATGAGTTCGTTTAAAAATAAAAACACCAAAGAATTAATTTAAAACTAAAATATAAAACCAATTTATACATGTATTAGCAAAATTATTTACATGTGTACGCAATTAAAATAAAAGGAAAACACATTGAAACTTACTTGTTACGTGCGTGTAAAAAAAAAACGTGTTTGAGAGTGTTCAAAAGTCAGCAGATGACAAAGGAAAGGAAGGCGTCCTTCATCTATGTTCGACTAGATCTGAAAGTGAGAGGTGGGAAAAATAGGACAGCATTTTTATAGACTTAAAACGCGCACCCTAACGAGCGTTTTTGGCAAAGACAAGTGGGGCAAACATAGATAGATAGATAGATAGATAGATAGATAGATAGATAGATAGATAGATAGATAGATGTAAACAGGCATAGATAGGTAGATAGAAAAAGAATGACATAGATAAATAGATGTAAACAGACATAGATAGATAGATAGATAGATAGATAGATAGATAGATAGATAGAAAAAGAACGAGATAGATAGATAGATAGATAGATAGATAGATAGATAGATAGATAGATAGATAGATGTAAACGGACATAGATAGATAGGTAGATAGAAAGAAAAAGAATGATATAGATAAATAGATGTGAACAGGCATAGATAGATAGATAGATAGATAGATAGATAGATAGATAGATACATAGCTAGATAGATAGAGAGAAAAAGAATGATATAGATATATAGATGTGAACAGGCATAGATAGATAGATAGAAAAAGAATGAGATAGATAGATAGATAGATAGATAGAAAAAGAATGAGATAGATAGATAGATAGATAGATAGATAGATAGATAGATAGAAAAAGAATGATATAGATAAATAGATGTGAACAGGCATAGATAGATAGATAGATAGATAGATAGATGTAAACAGGCATAGATAGATTGAAAGAAAAAGAATTACATAAATATATAGATGTGAACAGGCATAGAAAGAAAGAAAGAAAGAAAAAAGAAAGAAAGAAAAAAGAAAGAAAGAAAAAGAATGAGATAGATAGATAGATAGATAGATAGATAGATAGATAGATAGATAGATGTTATAACATGTTTAGGTGATGAGTCGGTATCATCACCAAAAATTAGCGAAACAAAACGTGATTTCCGTTATGAGGTTGAACTCTTGAATTTTATATCATTGTCGAAATTAGATTATAACAAATACACTAAATCAAACGGTACGGTGCGCCTCATACGCGCAGTGGAAGAGGTTAGCCGGTGAGGCGGAAGAGCATAGCAGGTGAGGCGGTATATTGAAAGTCAATAAAATATTTAGAGACAGTTTCAAAAGATGTATATGCCAAAAAATGAGTCCAAAATTTAAGATATCATGGATTGTGTGTAATTGCATGCATAAGTCCCAGTATAAATAGTTGGAAATAATTATTGACCAGTTTTATCATTGTGATATTTTTGCATTATGCCAAATATTAAGAATATAGTACCTGGGGTCTGCAGATTGGAGAGGAGAATTATCAATGATAATATTCTGCTGACTTCGAATTCGCGGTTACCTCCCTTTAACCCTCTCTCACTGTTTTTTCTTTTCATTATTAAATGTACATTTTATCACATATAATTTCGTGTTGCGTGATCAATGCGGGCCAAAGATTAAAAGTATCTATAAAAAGAATGTATAAACATAAAAATGTCTTTAAATAATTGTCGGACTTTGTCCATTTCATAGTAAGTAAGAATTCGTTGTTGTGTTGTAAGGATATTGTGGTATGTTTGTGTCAGTGTTTGTGGCTATCTAGGTTAACGTTAAGACAGAAGAAACCATCCTTTTTCCCCATTCCCCATTGTGGCCTTGTGCCACATTTTCTGTACATAGCAGAATAAATATCATTCTTCGCCATCGTACCTAGACCTTTTGAATTTAAGCGCAGTACTAGACGGGAATCAAGATCGCATCAATTTACAGATGAGCTGGCCAGATTTCGCCGTAAGTTCTATGCTAACAGTTTCTCCTCTCGCACTTCTCGCTTGTGGAACTCCCTTCCAGCTCCATGTTTTCCAATCAGCTTTAATCTTCAAAAATTTTAAAACAATGTCAATCGCTATTTACTGTTCTCATGATTACACTTTTTAGTTCGCACTTATTACTAATGTTTCTGTTTCTTATTCTTCCACACGCAGTAACTCCTTGTGTCTTAGTGGCTTTGCTCTCTTGCATGGGTGGAAATCAATTAAAAACTAAACAACTATGTACCAGAATATACTAATGACTTTGATGAACTAATTTATTTTTAAACTTGACAAATAAACCACGATGATTTATGTATGTCACGCATTGTGTCAAGTCCGGGGTTATTTTTAGCTTGTGTAATTAATTTTGCAATCAGCTACACCAAGTAATGACAGCTGCATTAGTAGACGAGTTTTCTTTTAGATTTAATTGCACAAACACATGCAGAAACTCACCCAGGCACATTGGTGCGCGCACACACACACACACACACACACACACACACACACACACACACACACACACACACACACATATGGGCACCATTGCAGCTCCGTCATATGCTACAATATTCATGGGAAAATTTGAGGAGACCCATATCTATCCAATCATTGGTAGCGACTGCGTATTCTATGCAAGATATATCGATGATATATTCTTTGTATACACAGGTAGTGATGACAAACTTACCCAATTCCTTATGACCCTAAACACAGTGCACGACTCAATTAAGTTTGACTATGAAAAATCCACAACATCAGTAACATTTTTAGACACCCGCATTTACATAGATGAAAACAGGAAACTACAAACGACACTACACACTAAAATCACCGACACCCACAACTATCTACACTTTAAGTCTTCCCACCCTAAACACCTCAAAGAGAACCTTCCTATTCACAAGCACTTAGACTCAGAAGGATATGTTCCAACAATGAAGAATTAAATAAACACATTGAAAATCTGGAGCATCAATTCACAACACGTGGCTATAAACAACACCTAATCAGGGAAAAAAATAAATAAAGCAATTTCCACACCTAGAGAAGGCACCCTAATGTACAAGATTAAAAATAAATCTAGCCGCATCCCTCTAGTAACCACTTTCAGTCCCACTCTGCCTCCACTATCCCAAATAATCAAACGTCGCTGGGAAATAATACATCTCAAACCAGACCTAAAAAAAAAAAACTGTTTAAGGAACCCGGCCTTCTTGCATATCGTAGACCTAAGAACCTAAAAGAATTCATAGGTAGTAACCACATTTCAGGGGACAAGGTAATCCGTAATAAACTAAGAACAAAAACAACAGGATTTTTCCCAACCATGTAACAACAAAAAGAAGTTTATGTTGCAACCATATTAAAAACACGAATTCATTCACTAGCTGAATCACTAAATCTACTTTCAAAATCTACCACGATTCTGACTGTAGAAGTCATAACATAATTTACCTCCTAGAATGCACACTATGCCAGAAACAATATGTAGGAAAATCTGAATGGCCCTTTCACTACAGAATTAATAATTATCGTAAGCGAATTAAATCGACTCCCCATGAAAAATTATTACCTGTAGAACAACATTTCCGCCTGGAAAAACACGATTTCAAAACCCATGCCAAATTCACTATAATTGAGAGAATAGAAAATTCCAGAGCAGATAACATTAGAAAGATTTTAGAGTCCCATGAAAATAAGTGTATTTAAAACGTTTAAAAACACGCTTTCCAGCCGGGCTAAACCATAAATCTAACAATATAGATCAAAACCTACCCACATTTCTCACCCACACAAGACAGACATGCTTACGGAGGTGTGGAGGCCTCACACTTATACACACACCCACACGAATATACACACTTACACATATCATACTCGCTCACTCCCTAATGAGCCAAATGATAACACACACCCACAGCAATACACACGCTTACACATATCATACTCACTCACTCCCTAAGAACCAAATAACACACACACAAACACTAAACAGAGACACATCCCCTCACCAGGTCCAATAAAACTGTCAAACTGACCAGAGAATTCAGAGCAACATGTATCTGTCCAGCTCTTATCTCAAATAACAACTTAAAAGGGACTGTTTGACCAAGACAAGGAATGTTAAAAGATTCATGTTAAAAAGATAAAAAAATAAAAAAACAAATGAAAACTACAGACAAAAGTTCATTTTCTCCAACAAAAGACATTCATTTCTGTAGTTTAGTGCTAACAGCAAGCAGAAATATTTTTCCTCCCGATGATGGCCATTTGGGTCGAAACTAGTCGAGGAATCTAAATGGAATAATAATAATAAAAAAAAAAACGAAAGAATATTAATCTACAACCTAGTGTGTCTAAAGATTTTAATTTTTTTATTTTTCTATTGTTCAATATATATATATATATATATATATATATATATATATATATTACAATAAACGTGCAATCAATTTACAAATACATGAATTAATCACACAAAACTAATGCAAAGGTTAATGATTTAAATGGCGAGACATCCATCTCGCAAACAATTCAAATAGTACACAAAAACCTCCAATTCCGTTATGAATGAATTGATCCTTGTTCATATAAATTTCTGCCGTATTAGTTGTTATTTTTACTACAAGCTTTCGTCTGTTCCTACAGACATCTTCAGGTATAAAATAGATGTTGTTCTTGCTTTTTCTCTTAGTAATAAGAGGACATCGAAAATATATGTGTATTGTATCCGAAATGCTATTGAAAATGAGATATTGGTTTTTGAACGCGCCAAAGCAACGCTGAGTTTGAAAAATGTTTTTAAAGTGTTTGCGTTTATACCAAATATGGTAATGAACAAATTATTTTACTGGTAAATTTTACTGTCAAAGTGGCATGAACTATATTGTTCAATAATTACAGTAATGTCGCACTTATTAACCAAAAGTCGCACATGGATCAGTTATTTAAATTACAATAAACGTGCAATCAATTTACAAATACATGAATTATTCACACAAAACTAATGCAAAGGTTAATGATTTAAATGGCGAGACATCCATCTCGCAAACAATTTATTTTTTATTTTTTAAAAATATTTTCGATGTCCTCTTATTACTAAGAAAAAAAAAACAAGAACAGCATCTATTATATACCTGAAGATGTCTGTAGGAACAGACGAAAGCTTGTAGCAAAAAAATAACAACTAATACGGCAGAAATTTATATGAACAAGGATCAATTCATTCATAACGGAATTGGAGGTTTTTGTGTACTATTTGAATTGTTTTTGCGAGATGGATGTCTCGCCATTTAAAATCATTAACCTTTTGCATTAGTTTTGTGTGAATAATTCATATATATATATATATATATATATATATAACTGGAATTCGAAATCGGTTCTCTTATTCCTCAATCCAAGCCGCTATTCATTACTCCGCCATGCCTTGCCTTTCCTTCTCTCCTCTCCTTCCTCTCTCTCTCTCTCTCCCTCTCTGTGTATGTATGTATATATATATATATATATATATATATGTGTGTGTGTGTGTGTGTGTGTGTGCATGCGTGTGTGTTCACGAATTTGCCGAAAAAAGAGCGTAGCATGTTGGAAAATGCCCCAAACTTTATTGTCAACATGTTTCTGTTATCATTAAGAGACGAGGCGAAAGTATTTTAATATCCTATTAAAATTTGTTAATCCTTTCTAGGTTCAAACATCTTGGTAGAAATTTTTTTTTTACATGTGTTACCCTCACCTTACTTAATGAAACTTCGAGAAATTAAATTTTGCCCGCGTCATATTAGTATGAAGCAGAATTGCTTTGAGAACATAAATCACCATTATTTTTTTTTTTTCAAACAGTTGAAACATTTACCGAAAATCTGTTCTGAATCGTAAAATAAATGCAATCCAAGACATTATTTAA